CTAAAGGCAGCGGCAAAAGCAGAAGCGAATCCTGAGGAGAAATAGTCTGAACTCAAGTCTCATCAAGTCCCAGAGAATCCCAGCAAAACATTCAAGGCAACAATCCATCATAAGCGAGAGCCAGCGGACTCAACAAACAGAGCGACAGGACCAGACCACAAAGGTTCTACACACTGAAACACTGAAATCAGAACATAAAATACCTATTCAGTGTGTTTAAGGAAATAAAAAAGGAGCCGAAAAGGAGAGAGGAGTGAGAGACTCTGAAAACTGGCTAGCAAACTTAAAAAGAAACACACACACAAAAAAAAACCCTACCAGAAATTTAAGAATATAACAATTTAAATATAAAACTCAGTAGCAGGGCTAAATAGCAGAATAGATACAGCTGAAGAGAGAAGCTGTGATCCAGAATGAAGTTCTAAAGAAATTATTCAGAAGAAAGCACAAGGGACCAAGATGAAAATAATGAAAGAGAAATTAAAACACATGGAGGATAAAGTGAGAAGATCTAACAAATGTTTGTTTTACTCACAGTCCCACAAGGAGATCATGGAAAGACCAGGAGAGGCACAACAGACAGGAATCTTCAGATCAAAGAAGCAGAAAGAACTGCAAGTAAAAAAATCAAACAACAAACATCCCCCATCTAGACACAGTACATGAAGAACCCTAACATCAAAGGAAGATCTAAAAAGCAGCCAGATGAAAGATTACCAATAAAGGGACAAAAACTAGACTGACCAATGCCTTCCCAATAGCTGTATGGAAAGCCAGAAGATAGAGCTGTGAGAAAATGATATACAAACAAAGACAGAAATAAACCAGATTTTCAAATTAAAAATAAAACATATCCACAAAAGGACACTGGGGAACTTTAGGACAAAAGACTGTGACCAAAGAAGCTTCTAAACAATGTACCTTAAGAAAGTGATTCTAAGTGAGATAAGAGAATAAAAGTTTTATACATTGACTGTATAAACAATAGCAACATCAAAACCACAATCCCACCCCATCTTATACATGAGAACATGCACGCACCCTACAAGGCTAAATAAAGATAGAAGGGGAGCAAATTCAAAGCATTTTGAAGCTCTGTACTGTTTAGGAGGGTCAAGAGGTTAACTTTAGACTTCCTTAAGTATGCGTTTAGATTTCAAGGGCAACCAGTAAAAGACGTATCTTCCAAACCAGGCGAGGAAAAAATATGGCAAAGAAACTATTTAACTCAAACAACATATGACAAACAGAAGATGCAAAAAATAAGATGGTACAAGGCAATTATATGATAATTATAAATGTAAATAAACTGAACTCCTGAGTTAAAAAATACAGACTCCTCCAAAATACAAAATCCAGACATAAACTGTTTATATAGGAAGTACCATTACCATGTTTCCAAAAAAAGAAAAAGACCAATATATGGACTGAAGGTTGTATTCCCACAGGATTCATATGTTGAACTTCTAACCCTCAATGTGATGGTATTCGGAAGTGGGCCTTTGGGAGGCAGTTAGGGCAGGAGGGGAGAGCCCTCATCATGGCTTAGTGCCCCTGTACAAAGCGCTGAGGGCGCTTCCTGGGGCTCTGCTTTCGGACACATGGAGACACAACAGAAGTCCACCAGCTGCCTACCGGGAAGCAGGCTCTCCGGGGAGAGCAGATCCGCTGGCACCTGGATCTTGGACATCCACCATCTCCAGAAGTGACAGAAGTAATTGTTTGATGTTTAAGCCACCCTGCCTACGGTGACTTGTTATGGCAGTCTGAACTAAGACATGTGAGATGAGCCATTTCCATGTTTCCTTTTTTAAAAACAAAGGAGGATCCACAGAAAATAGAAAATAGTAAGAGAAGAAAGTAGCCACCTGAATAAAAGATGTAAAACTTGAGGATCAACAAAATCAAAAGCTGATAGTCTTACAAGACTAAATCTACCATGAAGTCTTTGGTAAGGATACTAAGGAAAAAAAGAGAGAGAGAGAAGGCAAAATAAGATTGAGGAAAAAAGAGACTACATAATTACACAGAAAGCAGAAATTAACAACAAAACAGGAATTTTATGCCTATATATTGAAAGTACACAGATGAACAATTCTCTAGAAAAATTTATCAAAACTGATGTGAGAAGAGAAAACCTGATAAATTCTACAATAACCATTACAGAAATTAAAGCGGTAATTTAAAATCTTCCCTCAGAGAAAAGAGCAAATCTAGATGGTTTTACAGGTGAGTTATTTCAAACACACAAGGAATGGATAATTTCAATCTTAAACAAAATCTAACAAACGAGAGAAAATGGTGAGAAGACCTGAGGCTATGAGGCTACAGTATTTTTAATTTCAAACAGAAAAGGAAATTGCAAAAGAGGAAAATTACAGGTCAATTTCTAAACAAAATATTAACACACCAATTCCAACATTATGTTAAAAAATATAATCATCATGATCAATCTGAATATTTTCTAGAATGCAAGTGATTCAATACTAGAAAAATCAGTAATCCATCAACTCATCAGAAGAAATCTAGCTAGTTTCTGGATACCTAAAATCAGTAAATAAGTCAACTGTGTTTCATTCAAAAGCTGTAATCAGAAAATGATCATTTAAAAAAATATCAAGTAGTATTAATCAGATCCCAACAACTTTTTTTTTTTAGGGAATTTGATATAGAAAGCAGATACCCAATAGCAGCCAAAACACTTAAAAGCAACAGGGGAGGACTCACCTTACTAGGTGTCAAGATTCATTACAAAGGTATGGTTATTAAGATAGGCTGGTATCAGTGCAGGTATAGAACAACACATCAATGGAACTGAAAAGGGGGCCAAGAAATAAATCCATGCATGTGTGTATATGTAAACCTGATTTATGACAGCTGAAATTACGTCAGTAGGGGAAAGGTCTGTTACATGGACCTGGGACAACTGGTTATTGACATGGAAAAAAATGAAATTGGTTTCCTTCCTTTCCATACTACACACAAAAATCAATTTCTGGTAGAAAAAAGACTTAAATATCAAAAGCACAACTATAGACCTTTAGAATACAGAGTAAGATTTTAGGGTAGGGAAGGTTTTCACAGACCAGATCACAAAGCACTGAGAATTAATAAAAGGATCAAGACAAAATTACAAATATATGTTTATCTACACCTAACTTTTGAAGTTGCATGATTGTATATGCAGACCCACTATTCTGTCTACTGTTGTATATTTTTTTTTGAAAAGACACCGTAAGAGTGCCCAAAACTGGCAACAAACTGAGCTATTTGCCACTTACATAACTGAGGTTTAGTATTCAAATACGTGTAAAGAATATAAGATGCAGTGACCCGACGGCATCAGGCGGTAGAAGAGCGCTAGCTCCCTGCCAACAGAGAGTGTTTCTTAAACTGGAGAAATAGGTTCAGAAATGCTCGCTTTGCTTCCTAGCTGACACAAATGTTAACATAAACTTGTGGTATCAAGCACTGCATTCTTAACTTTTTAAAGCTGCTGAAAAAGGGACGTTGAATGAACACACCACAAAATTTTAGTTATTAAATCTTAAGAAATGAAGATTTCACAAAAAAGCTAATAAATATTTGAAAATAAGTAACTTTTCTAAGAGAAAAGCAAAATCACAATGAGATACTATTTCAACTATTTCATACAGGCGGACAAAAATTAAATTTTCTGATGATATCGAGTGTCGGCAAGTATGTGGAGCAACGAGAACTCACGAACCGCCGGCAGAGGACGGAAAATGCCTGCACAACTTGGCCTGTATTTCCGGAGCTCCACTCCTTGCACAAGAGCTCCTGTAACGGTACATGAACGCGTAGCTGCCAATCCCAGTTTTGGACGGAAAAACGTATGGTATATTCTCACAACTGAATGAACTGCAACCTCCCACATCAACAGGGATGAATCTCAAACGACAGTGTTGAAAAAGCAAGTAAAATAGACTCACATGGTATGAAGCCCTGCCTATAAAGATAAAAAACATGCAGTGACCCGACGGCATCAGGCGGTAGAAGAGCGCTAGCTCCCTGCCAACAGAGAGAGTGTTTCTTAAACTGGAGAAATAGGTTCAGAAATGCTCGCTTTGCTTCCTAGCTGACACAAATGTTAACATAAACTTGTGGTATCAAGCATTGCATTCTTAACTTTTTAAAGCTGCTGAAAAAGGGACGTTGAATGAACACACCACAAAATTTTAGTTATTACCTTGGGGTTTGGAAGACGCAGGGCTTTCACTTTCTATATTATTCACTTCTGGACCATTAAAAATTTTTACAATTAACGTATGTAATATGTGTGGGGAGAAATGGTTACACGAAGGAAAAGCTGCATACAAATCTGGGGCCCATCACTATGCGGGGCAGTAATTGTTTTCAACTTGACACTATTTCTCGGGGATGTCCTACATTAAAACTATGCTCAGCATATTCTGTGAGTTAAGTCTGTAATACACAGAATATATTACATATACGTAATATAAAACGTGAGACAAATTTCCAACAAAAATGGGTTTTAAAAATGTTGGCTTTTACTAAAAGCTTGCGTACTTTCTCTATATAAACAGTTCCTGTTAATTAGGTTCCATCTAATTTTTATTTTACCCATTTGCTACTCTGGCCACTTCTGCACTTAATAGCGTGCACGCCTCAGATGCTTTTTCACGCAAGCGCGTCAACGCAGATGGACTCCCTTCCCACGGGGCTCTGCCCGGTTTGTCCTGAGCGTCAAGGAGCAGCGCGCCCTGCGAGCTCGTCCACCCCGGACGCGGCGCGCCGGGCCAGAGGAGGGCCGGAGGACGGGGGCGCGCGGGAGGCCTCCGGGGACCCCCCAGCGCGCGCCCAGCCCGAGGTGCGGGGCGACGGGGGCCCGCCGACGGCCGGGACGGGAGCGACCCCGACGGAGAGAGGAGCTCGGCGGCCCGCGCGCTCTCCTGGGGAGGCGTTTGCTCGCGAAGCGCCGGCCTTCGCGACCTCGCCCACGGGGCCGGGCGCCTTACTTGCCGCTCTCCACGCTGCGGCCGGAACGCGGCCGAGCACCCGGACGAGCGACGACCCGGTCATGGCGCCGACTTCCGCAATGTCCGCGGCAGCCCTGCGCGGGGAGGTGGCCGCCGTCCGAGTCCACGTACGGGGTTGGGGCTGCGGCGGGGGCGGGGCCTCCGTGTGGCCTGATGAGGGCGTGGCCTGTGGCAAGGGCAGGGGCTGCGTGTGGCCGGTGGGGCTGGGCTGCGGCGGAGGCGGGGCCTGCGTGTGTTCTGAGGAGGGCGTGGTCCGTGGCATGGGCGTGGCCTGTGGGGGCTGGGCGGGGGCGGGGCCTGCGTGTGGTAGGCGGGGCGGGGCTCAGGCCTTAGGAAGGAGGACCCGAGAAGCGCTGAGGCCTCCCACGGAGAAGGAGCCGGACTACCTGGAGCACCGGGTTGGTAAAACCCCAAATTATGGCTGAACTTGGATGAGGGAATAATTCTGTTTATTCCTCTCAATCTGAGGCAAAAGGTCTCTTGTAAGATCCTCTTTTATAGCATACGAAGATTGAGTGCTTTTACTCTTGCCTTCTTTTCCCTCCGTTCTCTTTTACCATTTAAGTCCCTGCTTGTTGAGTGAACTAATTCGTCCGTTCTGGTGCATTGACCGGGTGACCTGAACTGATGACTTTTGAGTGAAGCGCGGAGCAGAGAAGGCGTTCCATCTGGTCCAGGCTGCAGAGGACGTCTGCCAGTTGGCCCTTAAATTCCAACAACCTCAACAATGATCGGAGCATATGAGGCAGATCCGCGGACGTCTATAGAATTACAGTGGAGAGCCCTTGAATTTTCCTTCTCCATCCTTTTTTTTTTCCCCAAAAAAACTCTTTGACTAGCTATTGGGGCCTGGTAACATATGGCGGCTATATGTGAGTTTTCATCATGAACTGGGAGTTAACTGGTCCTCCTAGATAAGGGATCCTTTCACTAAAAGGAAATGATATATACGAACTGAGCCACAGCCAAAACCCAAGCAATTTTTATCATCAGATAGTGCATGCACATCTTTGACCCTTAGCTCAGATCTACACCTTAGCGGTGAGTTCCTCGTGACCAGTTTACCCAGGAAAAATTCAAATCTGGATTATGGATGGCTTTGTTCAAACTGACCCAGCTAGAGAGAGAAATCCTCCCAGAAGGCAGAACCTAATCCTATACAATTTGCCTGGAAGATATGGCTTGAGATAAAGATCTACATTTCATGGGCACTGGTTTACTCCGGTGGTCAGGACCTGGGAATGTAAGGGTTTTGGAATAGTTTTTTAGAACAGGACCTCTCAATGTGGCCCCCAAATACAAGAACTTTCACGTGCCATTGCTCAAAAAAAGGCTCCCGTTGCAGGACTCTTAATCAGAACAAGAGTACCCTATTTGTTACCTATTCCTGCCTGATATACCAAAAGTTTATGGTTTAAAAGAAACATTTTAGTTTTTCTGAGTCAGGAATCCAGACGCCAGGCTCTAAGGTCTTACATGAGGTTGCAGTCAAGCTTTTAGCTGGGCTGCCAGTCTCATAGGGAGGCACCACTAGGGGCAGATGTGTTTCCAAGCTCACTTACGAGACTGACAGGACCTAGTTCCTTGTGGGCTTTTGAGCTGGAGGCTTCGCTCAGTTCCATGCTATGTGGGCTTCTTGCTCATATGTGTTGCAACTTTCAACAGGCAGCTGGTTTTCCATAGAAAGAACAAATGAGAGAACAAGAGAGCCTGATCGAGGTGGAAACCATGGTGTCTGTAATCGAATCTCAGAAGAAGCGTCCCATCACTTTTGCTGAATTCTATCAGTGGATTCAGCCTAAGGGACTCAGAGGGGATAGCAGAAGGGATGAACACCAGCGAGGGGGGATTACTGGCAGCCCTCAGAAGCTGCACGTCACAGTGACCCACTGTAGACACAGCCAGCCTTCTTCCCCAACCACAGCTGTGGCTCGGTGGACCTACTACCTAGGTAGCCATGGTGGCAAGGAGACAGGCATGTATTTTTAAGTCTTTCTTCCTGCCAAGACTGACTGGCTTGCACCACTACCAGCAGTGACCAAGCTGGCCCCCCGATACAGTACCACATAGGCAGAGGGGCAGGTGTGGTCACAGTGGAACCCTGCTATAATGAAGGAGGTAGTAATTTGTTCTATAGGAATAGACAAATCATTCTGGGTTTGTATTGCTTTCCCTGATTTAGGTTTCTTTTATACACGTCATCAATGGACTTCCTGAATACCTTATACGCCCTCACTTCCTATAGCGTCCCCTACAGCACTGTTTCTCAACAAAGAACCCACTTTCCTGTGTAAGCTGTAAAGGAGGGTACTGATGTCTCTGGGCGTTAACCAGTCTGATCACATATCCCATCAGACTAGAAGAAACAGCTTTTATAGTATAACAGACAGCTCTATTGAAGGTTTACTTTTGTAACCAGGTGAGAAACTCCACTTTAGGGTGCTGTCCTAAAGGATTTGGCATACACTCCAAATGAATTAACGATATTCAGTGATATCCCTTCTGTTGACAGAATAACATGGGCCAAAGAGTAGCAGAGGGATTGACACCTTGTTACATCTGACACACTACCCATATATTTTGCTTTCCATCACGGGGAGAGAAAATTTGTCATGGCTCCTGAGCATCCTTGCATATTATTGCCGAGTAAGCCAACTGCAAGGCTTTTCCATCTCCTAATACTGAGCAGTTTCTGTAGATGCTCATATGGGCATAAAGCAGGTCAAGGCAACCACAGCATTACCAGCATTTAACTGCTTCTCTCCTGGAGGATATAAACTGGCTTGTTGGTTGCTTGCTCAAAAACTGCTTGGCCTATGGCCCCAAATTCTTCTGCAGTGTACTCACCACAAGTGCGGTGGCATCTGGACCTCTACATCATTATGGGAACTGGAGTTCCAGGAATTAACTGGTGCGAATATACTGACACTGTGGCTACTATTTTGCTGTCAGTCCTTCCTTCCTAAGAGTCTCCTGTCAGCATCCATGAAACAGTAACACGCAAACTTGCTAGTAGGATAAAAATCCCAGACCCTTCACTTCTCTTGCCATCCATCTCCGATTCCAGGTTCTGTTGGTGTATTAATCTTCGTACCTGGAGCAAGATAACAAAGTGATACAATGTTTTCTCTGAATTGGCAGTTGGAATTGCCACCTGGTCATTTTTAGCTTATTCCCCAGGGTAAGGGGTTATAAAAAGTGGTTCTGGTGCTAGAGTGATTGGCCCTGGTGGCCCTGAGGGAAAAGGGAGTAGGGAGAACAGTCTGATTAGAACTGGGGCGATCTCACCCCTGGAGTGCCTCCTCACAATACCATGTTGAACTGTAAAAATTAGCAAAGATTATTGCAACCCTATACAGGCAAGATCACCCAAGCCTCAGATCCTTGGGTAACCCACTAACTAGGTAAAGAAATCTCAGCTAAGGTGTGGTCGAACACAAAGGAAACAAGGAATAGGTGTAGTGATGACAAGTCATGACCATCTGGCTTCAGGACCAGTGGCAGAACTGAAAGACTGCGTTTACCATAGCTTTCTTTTCTTTCTATCACTGAACGCTGGGATTCTGGAGATTCCTGGAGATCCTGGAGATTCAGTTGGTCTGCAAAGGGGCCCTGGAGTTTGTAATAAGGAACTCTGACAATTCTCACTAAGGAAGCTTGCAAAGCACTGCTCTAGCTGTTATTTTCTTCATTGGCTCATACATATGCCTACTTAATAATTTCTCCTTATGCTTGTATTGTATATATGGGTGGTGGTTGTAGTTAGGTCACAATTTCATCTTTGGATTGCCAACTACTGAGACAATACCATTACAGAACCAGAGGAGAAGTGGACACTGAAATCCTGGACTTGAAACTGGACGAGGGATTATGTTAGGAGGAAGCATTTCAAGTGTGTAAGTATGGGAAGAATGGTAAATGTAGACACGGAAAGACTAAGAGATGGGCTGTAGCAGACCTCTGATATGTTCTTATATCTGGCACCTATTTCACGTGCTTGGCAAATTCTGGTAGGAGAAATGGTCCCGTCTTCTACTGTGGAAGCTGAGAAGGTCAGACAGACTTGCTGTCCTTGATGTCTGACAGCCTGCGCTCGGATGGTTGGGCCGTCCCACGCCTTTGAATCTGGGACAAGTGGTGCAAGGAAGTGAGGTTGGACATCTAGCTTTCAGAAGTGTCACTGCCAGCAGATGGAGACAGAAACCACCGTCTAGCTCTTCTTGAGGTAAGAACTAGGTATGATTTGCTCATCTAGCTTACTTTGGTTTCTATCTGTTTTCAAAACCTGGTTCTCTGTCAGTTCTGTGAGCTACCTAACATTTTTCCAATAAATTTTTTCTGCTTAAGTTAGATCATAATTACTTTTTGTTGTTTGCCACCAACAATCCTTATTGTATTGACACATCCTTTAATGAGACTCCACTCTGTAATTGTCAACCACACTGTTTCAGACAATCATCTGCCCTCTCCTTCGGAACCCCACTCTCACAATCTGAATTTGGAGGGGAATAGCATATGATAGTTTCCCCAGTAAATCAGAAGTTAAATCTGTTAGATTTTAAACCATGATCACTGATTTGCTTTTAAAACTGTATGAAAACAACCAACGACCAACTCTGACTGTAACAGCAATTTATCCTTAGATACAATTACATGATTTCGAGTAACAATGAATCCTTTCATAAACCTGGGAAATTCTTCAAAGTTAGAATAAACATGATTATTCTAAACTCAGGGCCAAGGTACATGAAGATGGAAAAATCTATGTGGCAAAAGTAATAATTGTATTTATGTTTTCCAGTTATAATGTCGTTGGTATATTATCAAGTTAATTCACTGAATTTTCAAATACTTTTTAAAAAGTAAAGAATTATAGAGAGCAATCAGTGAAGTATCTTTTAACTACTTAATAAATGCAGAAGATGCAAATTATAAAAATACAAAGGCTGTAAGTTATATAATCATGTTGTTCTATAGAGTTAATTAATATGGTCTATCCAATTATAAAATAAAAATATATCTTTAGTATTCTAAAAATAAGTGTTTTAGCTCTACCTCCCGATAGACATTTGTTCATTTATTAACACCAGAGGCAGTAACACAATACTAAAAATACGCGTGCATCAATTATACAATACATACTTACAGAAACCTTTTGTCCATCACAATTGATGAATGCAAACAGAACTGCTATCCACCCTTAGTGCATTATTATTTTCACAAGTAAAACAGGAAAGGAAAATAGTGAATTTAATGCTATTCAGCACCTTTAGTAAAGTCGAAAGACTTAACATCTCCATATATCAAAAACATTTGCTTCTGTATTACTAAACACGTAAGGTTAATTACTTTGTTCCATTTTTAACATGAATTATTTTATTTACATTCTTTAGCTCAATAAATTTTAACAATATTTAAAAATTATCTAAATTCATAAAAGTATTTCATAAATTTCAACACTTAAATTATTATGTACATACATGGAAGTCCATGAAAAAGTTAAAGAAATATAGTCAGAAAGTTCAAGCAACATTACCAAATTTAGCAAAATCCAACCAAAGCAGATGTCATTCAAACATTCAAAAATATCTAGATGTTGCCAACATGAACATGGAAAGTTCCAGTAATAAAAGTCAATGTGAGAAATAATGCTGAAATCACCAGTAGAAAATATATTTTAATAGGCATGCTTATATGTTTCATAGCAACAGTAATAATGACTTTGTATAGAAAACTTTTATAACATTGTCATATATGAACTTCCTGGTTTTGATAGGGCTTAAGAGTTGGTTTCAAAAAATATATTTTAGCAGCCATAATTTTATTTCCAGTTAAAATATAGTAAAATGTTAAAAGTAAAATTTATAATTAACTATATACCCCAATACTAGAAAATTTAAAATCCCATGCTCTTCTAGCAATAATGGCCTCTAATGATGTGTCTGATGTAAAGATTGTTGAAAGCCAATAACAAACAATCAGACATAGAAATGGGCTTAAAGTTTCACTGAAATACGTATGTAGCAAAATATATGAAAAAGTAATAGAAAAGTAAAAAGATAAAATTAAAAAAATATTGCACAGCCACATTACTTAGAAAGGAAAGTTGACGTTTAAAAAGCTCTAAACATGGATGATATAAATTATCTTCCATATAAAAAGGTATAAATATTTCTTAGAACTTATTAGCATCTACAGTTCACTATAATACATTATTTGAGTCATTGATGAATGAGGTAATTGTCAAGTCTCTAACAGTACTTTTATTCTACTGGAAATATTTGAGGGCAGCCACCAGAAAAAATTTCTCTAAAAATATTTCCGAATCAAGAACAGCTATATGTGCAGCTCTTCCAATGAGTGAATCAGCTGTATTGGGCAAAGCATTGATGACATTGTATCGAACCAAGTTACAGTCCCTGTTTTGCAGAACCGGGCGAAGCAAGTTGTGGATCATTTCCGAATAAATCTGTCCTATGAGTAGGAGAAATGGTCCCGTCTTCTACTGTGGAAGCTGAGAAGGTCAGACAGACTTGCTGTCCTTGATGTCTGACAGCCTGCGCTCGGATGGTTGGGCCGTCCCACGCCTTTGAATCTGGGACAAGTGGTGCAAGGAAGTGAGGTTGTACATCTAGCTTTCAGAAGTGTCACTGCCAGCAGATGGAGACAGAAACCACCGTCTAGCTCTTCTTGAGGTAAGAACTAGGTATGATTTGCTCATCTAGCTTACTTTGGTTTCTATCTGTTTTCAAAACCTGGTTCTCTGTCAGTTCTGTGAGCTACCTAACATTTTTCCAATAAATTTTTTCTGCTTAAGTTAGATCATAATTACTTTTTGTTGTTTGCCACCAACAATCCTTATTGTATTGACACATCCTTTAATGAGACTCCACTCTGTAATTGTCAACCACACTGTTTCAGACAATCATCTGCCCTCTCCTTCGGAACCCCACTCTCACAATCTGAATTTGGAGGGGAATAGCATATGATAGTTTCCCCAGTAAATCAGAAGTTAAATCTGTTAGATTTTAAACCATGATCACTGATTTGCTTTTAAAACTGTATGAAAACAACCAACGACCAACTCTGACTGTAACAGCAATTTATCCTTAGATACAATTACATGATTTCGAGTAACAATGAATCCTTTCATAAACCTGGGAAATTCTTCAAAGTTAGAATAAACATGATTATTCTAAACTCAGGGCCAAGGTACATGAAGATGGAAAAATCTATGTGGCAAAAGTAATAATTGTATTTATGTTTTCCAGTTATAATGTCGTTGGTATATTATCAAGTTAATTCACTGAATTTTCAAATACTTTTTAAAAAGTAAAGAATTATAGAGAGCAATCAGTGAAGTATCTTTTAACTACTTAATAAATGCAGAAGATGCAAATTATAAAAATACAAAGGCTGTAAGTTATATAATCATGTTGTTCTATAGAGTTAATTAATATGGTCTATCCAATTATAAAATAAAAATATATCTTTAGTATTCTAAAAATAAGTGTTTTAGCTCTACCTCCCGATAGACATTTGTTCATTTATTAACACCAGAGGCAGTAACACAATACTAAAAATACGCGTGCATCAATTATACAATACATACTTACAGAAACCTTTTGTCCATCACAATTGATGAATGCAAACAGAACTGCTATCCACCCTTAGTGCATTATTATTTTCACAAGTAAAACAGGAAAGGAAAATAGTGAATTTAATGCTATTCAGCACCTTTAGTAAAGTCGAAAGACTTAACATCTCCATATATCAAAAACATTTGCTTCTGTATTACTAAACACGTAAGGTTAATTACTTTGTTCCATTTTTAACATGAATTATTTTATTTACATTCTTTAGCTCAATAAATTTTAACAATATTTAAAAATTATCTAAATTCATAAAAGTATTTCATAAATTTCAACACTTAAATTATTATGTACATACATGGAAGTCCATGAAAAAGTTAAAGAAATATAGTCAGAAAGTTCAAGCAACATTACCAAATTTAGCAAAATCCAACCAAAGCAGATGTCATTCAAACATTCAAAAATATCTAGATGTTGCCAACATGAACATGGAAAGTTCCAGTAATAAAAGTCAATGTGAGAAATAATGCTGAAATCACCAGTAGAAAATATATTTTAATAGGCATGCTTATATGTTTCATAGCAACAGTAATAATGACTTTGTATAGAAAACTTTTATAACATTGTCATATATGAACTTCCTGGTTTTGATAGGGCTTAAGAGTTGGTTTCAAAAAATATATTTTAGCAGCCATAATTTTATTTCCAGTTAAAATATAGTAAAATGTTAAAAGTAAAATTTATAATTAACTATATACCCCAATACTAGAAAATTTAAAATCCCATGCTCTTCTAGCAATAATGGCCTCTAATGATGTGTCTGATGTAAAGATTGTTGAAAGCCAATAACAAACAATCAGACATAGAAATGGGCTTAAAGTTTCACTGAAATACGTATGTAGCAAAATATATGAAAAAGTAATAGAAAAGTAAAAAGATAAAATTAAAAAAATATTGCACAGCCACATTACTTAGAAAGGAAAGTTGACGTTTAAAAAGCTCTAAACATGGATGATATAAATTATCTTCCATATAAAAAGGTATAAATATTTCTTAGAACTTATTAGCATCTACAGTTCACTATAATACATTATTTGAGTCATTGATGAATGAGGTAATTGTCAAGTCTCTAACAGTACTTTTATTCTACTGGAAATATTTGAGGGCAGCCACCAGAAAAAATTTCTCTAAAAATATTTCCGAATCAAGAACAGCTATATGTGCAGCTCTTCCAATGAGTGAATCAGCTGTATTGGGCAAAGCATTGATGACATTGTATCGAACCAAGTTACAGTCCCTGTTTTGCAGAACCGGGCGAAGCAAGTTGTGGATCATTTCCGAATAAATCTGTCCTATGGAACAAACAGAAAGGAGGAAAACTAGTTCATGTGAGGAACTGAGAAGAATTCCATGCCAACTGTTATATAATTTATAAAATTTAGTTGTATTTTTCCATTTAAAGCAGAAAAGTACATTTTAAAAGGCTTTCTTTTTCTTTGACTATCACTTTGAGACTGTTTTATAGAAAATATAAGCACACTATTTATCTAGCCAAGTAAGAATAACAAACTTATCATACATTATTCTTACCAATTTGGTATTTTTTCATTCAGAGCAATGGAATAACAGAGTTTTCTTCAATATTAAGTCACTTATGACTTGTTAAGCTATTAAGAAAATAAGGTAGCATGCTGAGACATTTTGATAAGGCAGAACTTACGGTCTATATCAAGCACTTTAAAAATGTTTTCATGGCAGTCAACATTATTCCACATTATTCTGAGAAAGAATAGCAACTTCCTATAGTCAGAAGAACAATGTAAGTTTGGCTCAAAGAGCAGACAAGATCCTTTTTTTGGTCTAAAGGTTTATTTAGGCTTGGTTCTGATTTTAATTCCAAAGTTGTGCTCCTCTTACCCTCTTTTTGGTTAATTATTACAATGGATTTATTAAGATCATGCTAAATATAAAAGATAAAGTTTAGATACACATATACATATAACAGATGAATACTACTGCATATCCATGGAATCTGGGAATCTTAAGAGGAGCAGGTATTAAACTTCAGAGGTGGGGCAGGATGTGGCCCCGAGGAATGACGGGAAGGGGACAGTACAGAAGCACACTTAGCAAAAGAAGAAATGTGTGTAAGAGAATCTGTATCATACAGACTCATAGAAAACTTTCTGCTCCTACCTCTCCTCTTAGTTTTCATTGTGAGTCAAGTTGGATTTCTGGTTCCATACTATTCAAAAAATATTTTTGCTTAGGGAGAAGTCCAAACCTGTCTTTAACTGGATTCCCCCATCCCCAGCGGCACAGAATCTCACTGTTGGAAATAAGGACACTTATCTAGTTTCAGTGACCAATTGAAGGGTAAACCTCTTTTGAATTGTTTCCCTAAGTGGACTCTAGCTTTTTCCCTTACGTGGACTCTCTCGCTGTAAGTGAAAAAAAACCAAAAAACAAAATAACCTTTTATTATGGTTATAAAGGTTATTCTGGTGCCACAAAATGCTCAAAAACTGTAGAGTGGATCGATACCTACTCTGTGCCCAGCATCACTCTGGCAACACCAAGAAAAATGCACGGACGAGAGTCATTGCTTGAAGGCGCTGTTCACGGTCACCGTGTAGGAAAAGCTAAGGATTAAGAGTTTGTTTAAAAGTAGCCTCATTCCAAACAAGGAACTGAAGCAATATGAAAGGTAGGACACCAGGGTTCTTGATCTGAGCCTGTAATTAGACACTTAGCATCTCTGGGCCTCAGTACAAAAGGACCAAACAGGTCTCCTTCTGGCTTCAAATACCTATGATTTAAATCTCTCGTGTTATTCAAAAACAGCAGAAGAATAAACAAACAAAACCCCCATTACTCACTATCAGTGGAGTGGGGCCAGCTCTGGGTGCCACCACTGACTAAAGGGTAAGATGCAGCCAACACGCTGGCTGTTCTCAGGGTCGCCAACCCTACCAACCCGCAGGACCAGGACCCATTACTTCCCAGGCGGCAGGACCCAGAAGCATTTGTGACTAGATGAGAATTCTTTCATGAGGACAATGACTGTTTCATTGGCAAAAACATCTCACGTGGCAGGAGAAAAGAAAGGTGGAAAACTGAAGGAAGGGTCACTGTAAATACCGGTGGGTCGAAGGGAAGGAAAAGGAAAGGGGATGAGAGAACAGAGAAGTGAGCCCACGAGAATGTGGGAAAAAACATGCATAGATGTAAATCTCTGAAATACCTACGTTTACTTCCTTACCTGACTGTTTGTCCTTCAAAGCTGTCTTACACATTTCAACACGGGCAGAGTGATAAGGAACATAGCGATCCTGCAGGGATCCCACCAGCACAACATTTTTGAAATAATGAAGCCCTGTGAAGAGGATACACTGATTATAATGCAATGATTAACCAGACTTAAAAAAACAAATTATTAGTATCATGTTAAGTGCCTATTTTCTCCATAGTGCTAACTTTATGGCTTCTTAAATACCTAAGGAATCCTTTCTCCAAGTGGCTATATATTATCTACAGCGACCCCATCTTGCTTCACTGAATGGAGTTTATGTGCTGATATGAGGAACGTGTGTTTGCACTCAGTGAAAGCAAGGATTGTGGTGTCTGGGTGTGTGGGAGAAGTTAGATACGGTAGAGTGAAATCCTGTAAGGAAGTATTTCACAACATCTTACTTTCCAAAGGATATCCCTTAACATTCAGGAAAACTGCCCAAAGAAACAAAATTATACTCTTCTATAAAAAAACCCCACCATATATGAAATTAAAGCTGACTTTTTACTTCCAAGTTTTCATTTGACTCGTTTTGATTTTTCAATAATATGAGGGTTTTGTACTCTATCCACATACTTTTTCAGGTCCTTCTATTTTTAGTTTGTAGTAAATGAGGTGAATTTAGGGCTTGTAACTTTGGGATACTTTGTTAATATAAACTCAGTTTCAGTACTGAAACCATGTTCTTGACCATTTTAGGACCTGTAGTGTTCTAATTTTGCTATTTGGCTCAGACTAATAAAAAATAAATAAAAACTTTATGAGATTATTAAATAAAATACAAATGAATAATGGCAATACATTAGAGATGGGATGTGTAGTGTACAGAATTTTGTTCTGGGACATTCCAGAGCAAAATCTTGGTATTTTTGCTCACGGACGCCGAGAGCCATAGAAGGGCCAACCGAGGAGACCGGCGCGGGCCTCCCTTTCTCCCTGGAGCTCAGGGGCCCTGCGGACGGCCGCGCGCGCTCAGGCGGGACTGGATGCACCCTTGCTCTCTATGCTGAGCGTGAGGCTCTCCTCCCTTTTTCCCAATAAGAAGATACCATTTTGTGGCAATTTTAATATATAAAGTTCTAGGAATATATGTGAAATAATCAAATGTCTTTATTAGGAATTAATTCAATTACACACAGATATTGGAAATCACATTTTGGAAAAACATTCATGAAGAAAAAGAGGTTCTTTCCCTTCATTCTCACGCTTCATGTGACAAACTCCATTTTTGGTTTCGTTTGACACAGTGCCTTCCGCAGCGTTAGCGCCACTTTGGGAATCATCTACATGTTCTAGACAGGCTGGTGTGCATCCACCCCAGGGGTGATCTACGACTCTCCGTGCTGGACGGGCGCCTACAGCTCTGGGGCACCTGATGCCCAGACCCCGACGTCCACATGAGCACCTCTCTAGAAGTGACTTGTCCCTCTCCCACTTGGTAAGAGAAAGATATTTTTCCAAATGTATTTCAGATATGGTGTATGGCCCTGGAATATGAAACTCTCTGGGGGAATCAATCAAAATATGACTGAAATCTAACTTTTTTCTGACTTGACTATTTGACAACAAGCAATGGCTCTGTCAATTAGATTTTATGCCACACATTTTCCATGAATTGAATGAGCTAAATCTGTAACTCTAATCAAATGACCTCTCTTGATATTTTTATGAAAATTTAGTTACAGTAAATATATACTACCTGACATGCTGGAAAATCATCCTTTGTAATTATTAAAAATTATAAAAAATATTTTTACATGTCACTTAAAAAATTATACAAGGGAATACACATGTTTTCAACATCCTTTTATGGGGTACATAAGCCCAAACTGTGACCACCACTGTCCTACAGCTTCATCTTCACTGCTCCCCAAGCTGTTTCCGGCACTGCACATTTCGGTGGAAGCTCATTTTATCCCAAACTGCATGAAACCAGTCACAGAACCGCACAACGGGCGCCTTCATTTACCTGGAAGGTGTGTGTCCGCTCTCCAGGAAGGGCTACCGTACCGCACAACCGCAGGGGCCAGGCGACTGCGTCTGCCCGAGCCTCGCTCCTTGCAGCTGGCCCTGCACAGCCTGTGGCAGCCTTGCTCAACAATGTTCCTTTTCGAACTTTCTTAAGTGACTATTTTTCCATAAATTGCCAGTCTCTCCCCTCCCCTCTTCACTCTTACCTTATGATCTTGCTTCCTGTTCCACTGAGGAGAGGAACAGAAGAGGACTCCCAGCGTAACACAAGCCAAACCGCACCTGCCCCTGCTCCCCCCGGCTCCCTCCTCCCCCTGGCTCCCCCCTGGCTCCCCCCGGCTCCCTCCTCCCCCTGGCTCCCCCCTGGCTCCCCCCTGCTCCCTCCGGCTCCCCCCTGCTCCCTCCTGCTCCCCCCTGCTCCCTCTGGCTCCCCCCTGCTCCCTCCGGCTCCCCCTGGCTCCCTCCTGCTCCCCCCTGCTCCCTCCTGCTCCCCCCTGCTCCCTCCGGCTCCCCCCTGCTCCCTCCGGCTCCCCCCTGCTCCCTCCGGCTCCCTCCTGCTCCCCCTGGCTCCCTCCTGCTCCCTCCTGCTCCCCCCTGCTCCCTCCGGCTCCCCCCTGGCTTAAGGTACACACCATTCTTATTTGCATCTAAAACAGTATAATATCTCCTATTTAAAAAAAATCCCTCATCAATGAGCCTGTCCTTGGATTATACTCTGCAGTTATCACCCCATTTCCTGGCACTTTTTAATTCTACAGTTTACATTATAAGAATACCAGGCAGTCCATTACAAACTACGGTAAACATTTTTCAGAACAGCTCTTTGCAGAGGTTCCGACAGTTCTGACACGCTTCTGTAGAGAAATGACACACAGGTGCAGGACCACTGTCAGGCCGAGGACCCTCAGGGACGCACCTGTGTCCGCGGAGGGGCAGGCAGCCCAGTGGGACAGCGGTGTGCACAACCAGTAACGGTCAGGTGAGAGGATGGCTAGCCACCTTTTATTTAATTCTCAGATTCCATGATGATGAATTTAAGTAAAAATCAAAGACCCTGCTACTGATATAAATACACCATGTTGTAGTATTTCTAAATGTGATTCTTAAGATAGTATTGTACTTTAAAAATGCATTTTAAATTTACTAATCAGTCTTTAATAATAGTTTTTCAACAACAGTGTATTAATACCAATATTGTGCTTCTGCAAGGAAAGTCTGCTTTTGGTATTAGCCAAAAACCAAGATAGCTAAATAGACTTAATTTTTTAAAAAATCTCTTGGGTTCAATTCCTTGTCAGCAGTGTTAGCCACACAGGGCAACCTGCAGGCCCAGAGCCACAGTGCAGTGGGGACGACTAAAGTTCATCTGAGTTGAAGCCCAGCTAAGGAACTACCAATGCCTTTACTCTGGGAGTCTCATGTTCCAGGTTCATCTCTGCAACTCAACTGCCACTATCTGCTCAGAGATGACCTAGTTGACTGGCCTTCAGGTCAGTACTTGACTCAGCAGCTAATTCTTTTTTTTTTTAAATTTTGGTATCATTAATAAATAATTGCATGAGCAACATTGTGGTTACAAGATGCTCCCCATTATCAAGTCCCCCCCACATACCCCATTACAGTCACTGTCCATCAGTGTAGTAAGATGCTGTAGAATCACTACTTGTCTTCTCTGTATAAACAGCCTTTTCCGGGCACCCCCCTCCATTACATTATGAGTGCTAATCGTAATGCCCCTTTTCCCCCTTCTCCCTCCCTTCCCACCCATCTGGTCCAGTCTCTTTCCCTTTGGTAACTATTAGTCCATTATTGGGTTCTGTGAGTCTGCTGCTGTTTTGTTCTTTCAGGTTTTGCTTTGTTCTTATGCTCCACAGATGAGTGAAATCATTTGGTGCCTGTCTTTCTCCGCCTGGCGTATTTCACTGAGCATAACACCCTCCAGCTCCATCCATGTTGATGCAAATGGTAGGATTTGTCTTTGAAGCAACTAATTCTTGCTTGAAAAGTTACCTCTGACTTGGGAAACTAACAAGGTTTCTTCATCTACAGAAGGAGATAAATTAACTAGAAAAGTTACTCAAGGGTTTTAGTTACTTTTCAGGGTTACCAACAAGAAAACGATTAAAGTAAATCTTCAATATTTCTTCAAAAATTTCTGTAATGGCAGGACTGCTGTATGAACGCTGTAACGGCAACCTGCTCTTCGTTTTCTCAGTCTTCCTGATACTTTTATTGACTTATTTCTTCTGAAAATTTTAATGAGTTTTAAGGCAACTCAGTATTGACCCATTTTCTGTCTGTTCTCTGGAACTGACTGAAGCAGTGGTTCGGCACCCGAGTCTGGAGACACGTCTGTGTCACAAACGGGGAGGTGGAGGAGGGTACAGAGGGCTGTGTGTGCGACTAGCAAATAGTGGGGAGAGACCAGGGCTGAAGGCCCTGCACCGCACGGGCCGATCTCTGATCCCAGCGTTATCCCGCCCAGGATGTCAACAGTACTGAGGTTAAGAAAACCATGTGTTTTTAAAACTGACATACACTAAGCAATATTAAACTATTCTTACTTTTACACTTTTTAAATACATTTGAAAGAATTTGCTCCTGAAAATAAGGTTGGTTAGCTGATGCTGATTCTTTCCCACACTTTCAGAAACAAAACACAAGTCCTTTAACAAATCAAGTGATACCTATTATTAGAGACCTCTGTAATCTGCTGGAAAAAAAGATTCCCTGTGCCATAGCAGCATAGCAGGAGGCTTCTCTAATTGTTGTATTTTATTTGTCAGAATTCAACAGCTGGTAAGGAGATTCTAAACATATGTCGTATGGAAGATCTTTAGATAAGGACATTTTATTTCTGAAATTCCAACAATGAATAGATTCTTATTTGGCTATTTTGGAGCCCTCATTAAAGAAGGCAGGCGTGTCCGTGACCCTTCTCTCCGTGCAATCTTGACTCCTTCACCACTGGGGTCACCTAATCATAGTCATGCACATTTTACCTTCCACGTTGCTCTAGTTCCTCCATCTTCTTTCTTTCCCATGATACTCAACGCTGCGATGCTAGTATGCCATGACTATGCTGTATAAATTATTTATATAATTTATCAGCAATTTGTAGAATGCTACAGGTTTTATGGCCAAAAGTTGTTACAAAAATTTAATGTACGTTTACAATTGCAATGCCTTAACCAAGAAAGATACTTTCCTGTTAAAAGTAACATCTCTAGCCCTTTACCAGATCTACTGTGTTCATAAAACAAAAAGGTAATTCACACTTAAGAAATGTATTATTTTTACAAAAAATTTAAAATTTCTGAGCTGTTTTGGGACTCACACAAATAAGAGGCTTTGAAATGCTTCCTTTATTTTAAAATATTGAACAGCTTTCAGTTAAGGAAAGTTACTAACAAATGATACATTGCAGAGCAAAAGACTGTTTCAAAAGGAAGACCCACAAGGGAGGCTTTGTTTAAATAAAAAAAAGGGAAAAATATTAAAGGATAGATTTTGGTTTAGACAGATTATTTCACGCTTTCCCAAAAGCACAAGAAATTGGCTGTTTGGGAGAAACAGAAGCACTAATGGGGCCAGGACATCTGAGATTTTGTAGCTTTGGCAGAATAAAATAAAAAAGAAATTATCATCAGGGCTTTTGTTTGTTTAAAAACGCATGAGAATAGCATATCGGTTAAGTAAGTTGCTCTATGTTTCCATTTTATTTACTTATGTTTCTGATGTTTCCAGTATTTCTACTTTGTAAATAAAGTAATCCACATGTATATATACAGGTGTAGCAACTTCCCAGGAATTGACTGCTCATTTCTCTCAATTCTCTAGACCAAAAAAACAGAAAATGCACAGCTCAAGAGAGATCCACTCTAACCCTGTGATAATATTGTAATTTTAAAATCAATTAATGAATACTTGTTATTTAAATGCATAATTAGAGATAGGTGGAAAAGCTTCTAAGGGAACAGATACAGGAAGCTAGTTGGAAGTAACTAGATGGGGACACCATGTGTCTACAGTGGCCTTGATCTACATGTCTGCGTGATCCTTCTAGTAGGGTTCAACAAGCCAGGTAAAGAAACAGTAATACAGGTTTACTATAATAGCTCTGATAAAAAAACAAGAGGTAACAATGTATGAATGATAAAAGTGACGATTCATAAAGTCTGAGATGGATCAGGAAAGGAGTGGAACCATGAAGGGCAGGGCAATCTGAGGAGAATGGAATAGGGATCTTAAATGAACCCAGTGAAGATGACAACAGGCAATGAGAGAGAAGGGCGAGGGTACCGCAGCCACACAATGGGATGCTGACTGGTCTCAGGGTGGAGGAGCCGCCGGTGTGGCTCAAGGTGGAGAGGAATGCACGGTCACCACAAAGCTGAGAAAGGCTCTGTAATGCTGGATGAATCATCTAAAAAGTTGACCCAAATTGCCAAAGATGATGCCAGGATTAAGTATATTAAGATCCAGGAAGAGTGCCTCTTCCCACGCACAACTGTGTAGTAAGTACTTGCCGATGACCTCGTAACAGGGCTCTGACCGAGCCACCAGGAAAGTGCTACATGCAAGACGACTAGAAGGTAGCACCCACCGCTCAGAAGGCTCAAGCCTCAAGAAGGCGGTTTTATTTGACAGTGGCGGAGCAGGGATGCCACTGGAAATGGCAAGCAAGAAGACTGCTCCCCTCACAGTAAACGAGAAATTGAGCTGCTTCTATAGCAGAAGTGAGCAAGGTATGGCCTGTGGGATTGGTCTCCTGCCTTTTTTTGGTAAATAAATTTTTTTGGGAACACAGCCACATTTGTTTATGTACTGTCTATGGCAGTTGCTGTGCTACAGTGCACTGCTGAGTAGGTGCACCAGCGATCACATGCCCTATGAAACCAGAATACTCGTCTCCGGCTCCTTAAGAAAAAGGTTTGCCAACCGTTGTTCTATAGCCAGGGGGAGTGAGGAGATGGCAGTGGGGCAACATGGGGCAATATCTAGGTTTCTGCTGTATCTCCCTTTTCAGAAGGAGTGGAGATAGCATGCTTTGAACAGTGTAAACATGAGGGTGGTCTGTTCCCCTCAAACTGAGGTTTCAAAGGAGACAGTGGGAGGAACATGTTAGGAAGACGTTAGTGTGAGTAAGAATCAGAGAGAGATGGGGAGGTGGAAGGCAAGGTCATTTACAGACAGTGAGAATGCAAAGGAGCAGTTGGGGTTTCAGGTGGCAAAAGCTTGGAATATATATGCAAGATAGGAATATATTTAATAATCAGTTAATAAGAGATGAATAACAAGATTCATACATGACATGAGAATTTATAAAAGGAATAACTATTAATAGTTTAGTTTCTGACAGTTTCCAGAAATGCCTGATAGCCCTAGAACAGGAAGGCAGAAAAATACACGGCAGCTTATATAAGAGTTGAGGACTGGGGTGGGGGCAGCTTGAAAGACAGAAGGGTTAGGACCTGCAGAAGCCCAGCTGAAACACTGACTAACTTCTAACTGGTAATGAATATAAATGTTAAGATGTTTAGGATAACTTCAAAATAGCTGTGCAGCTCATACAAGATACATAAATCTTATGAAATCAATGTAAACAACCATGCTATCAATCACTGTTTTAATTGTGAGTTTGCTATTTCATTATCCATAAATTAAAATGGACTATTACTTTTCTAATCACCAGAAAGGGATGTTGAAAATCTATTTGCCAAAGGTTTATTTTAAAAAAGCTTTTCAAGTGAATACTTTCAATACGGTTACTATATACTTATACTTACCTGCTTTATTACTAAGCTTGTATAAAAAAGTTTGGCGAGGGTCTGAATGATCTCGACATGTCAATTGCAAAAGAGAACCAGATTTTTTCCATTTCTGCATAAACCATAGTCCTACAGAGTTATAAACAATATGTAAGTATAACTGGAAACGTGGTAACATATGCCAAGGTTACTAATTTAAAAATATATTTCACTTTACAAAAGATAAACATGAGGGTGGTCTGTTCCAGTCACACTGAGGTTTCAAATGCTACCAAACTAGCATTCTGTTAGCTAAATAAAAAAATACTTGTAGTATCTTTTCCATTTTCTGAGAACAAATATAAACATACACATCCACACAGAGGTAACTACGGGTTAATGGTGGCTGACAGAGGGCTGCTATCCTGTATCACTCAGTGACGAAACAGGTAATGGTCTAAGAAGAAAAACTGGGGAAACCGTACCTTTAGATCAAGAAACGGGGGAAACTTCAAACATAGCAGGAGATCCAAATGTCTAAATACCGAGCCTTTTGTTTATAATTACAGTTAAGTTACTCGGTAGACTAACTGAATAGAAACTCTTAGAATGAGCAATTGGTTAATGTTTTCTAGGAAGAGCTGAATGTAATGAAGTTTCATATTTAATTATATTTCTTTATATTATCAGTTACTCATATTTAAATGTTAATTTAAATTAAGAGAAACCTTGATCACTTTGGAATGGGCTTTCAAGATTGTGAAATATTCATTTCCACTTTTGTTGCTTCTAATATTACAGAGTTACAGGGGCAGAAAAGAGGAAAAACCCTTTTAATTGATTAAAACTATAAAAATCCAGAACTAGTTATTTTGAATACCACCATTTGAAATGGGATACAAAGGAAAATAGTATGGTTTTTTTGTGAAGGAAACTAGAAGAGAAAATGGAAATAAGAGTTTCAAGGCTCAATGAAAAGAAACAGAATGAAATCTAATTTATTCATGTATTGGGAATCAATAAAAACCATTTTAAAAAACCTAAGGGAAAAACCAAGCTAGACAAAAGGTAAATCAAGTATCAGATCTTTCTTAATAAGAATATTCTAATCAAAATTGGGGTCTTAGCTTTCATTTTAATTCTTTAAAAGTTTTAGAATTTATTTTTCATAATATCCTTTATGGTTATCAAATCAAAACCAGAGGTAACATTCTATGTAAAATATTTTATAACTTTACATCAATACAGATATTTATTTGTTATCTGCTCAACTAATAGAACAGAATAGCCTGTTTATAAGATAAACATTTACTAAAAATATGTTGACAGTTTAATGAAAAATGGGGAAAAAATGCTCCTGTGACTTTTGACAAATATCATCTTGATTTGACAATATTCATTTTCTGAAATGACCTTTATCAGATTACTTCATGTCCATGACAAAACACAAAAACAGCTATGTCATGTTTTATGAAATTCCAAGTATGTGACAAGCCAGCTCTAAAATAAACACCTGAACAATAGTTCTGTAACACCTTTCTATGTTGACAGATAGTAACTGCACTACTTGGGGTGAGCATTAAATAATGGAGTTAAGTGTCAAATCACTATGTTGTATACTTGAAACCAATGTAATACTGTATATCAACTATACTACAACTGAAAATAAATAAATAAAATAAGCACCAGAAATGATTAATTTTGCCTTTAAACTTTCTCCCCGTGCCAGTTTTCATGCTGAATGACACTTTACCTGTATTAACGAGAGTGCTGCTGTTATACAATGTACCAAGGTGGGGTCCAGAGAGGGAGAGAAAGGTGTGCAGTTTGTGAAGGTAACACCTAAACCTTGGCCTCGTGAGCACTGAACGGATTATTAAGTTGCCCAATGAATGTCCAATAAAGCTTTAAGGAAAAAAAAAAGACATTTCTCTCATAGGATTAGTTTTAAAAATACATGTCAGGCTGATATCACAACACACAGATATGAAAAACTAAGAACTTGAAGGTTCTAATTTTAAAATTATGGTTTGATACTTTGAAATGATAAAACTTACATTTTAAAGAAAAAAAATATGAGAATATAGTAGAAAATTCTCTAGGTATTACCTATCATAAAATTTTTACTCCTAGTTTGTAAGTGCTTAGAAATAAATACATTTTAAAAGTAATGATACATTGACTAGGTGATAAATTTACCTCCTTGTGCACTCACACCAATTATTTACTTAAGTCATGATTTAAAACAAAATAAAGAAATTGTAACTACGAAGGGTGACTTAGGAGAAATTATATGCCTCTTTCTCTTACTCTGGTCTATACTTTGAAGCAGGACAGTCTCTGATTAAGTGTTTTTAAGGTACAGGTAAAATATGTACTGTTAAGTCAAAGATTTTACCAAAAGAATAATATTTATAAAGTACCTCACCTTTGTTAAGGAATATTTTAAATCAAAAGAACTTTTTGCTTGCTACTTTTTAAATAACAGATGGTATATGAACACCTGAGGACAATTATCAGTGGGAGGAGAGAGCCTGAAAGGCGCTCAACACCGGCTCGCAGGCATAATAAGCAGGAGCAGCTCGGGACCAAACCCCTCCCTCCGGAGTCTCTAGGATCGTGAAGTGAAAGTCATAATGGGAACTAAGAGTCCCCAGTCAGCCAGATCAGGCTTTTGGATAAAGGTTGATTGTAACTGACAATCCAATGTAAAAGAAGTATTTGTGGATAAATGAAAAAACTGAAACAATATATTATTTTCTCATCATAAAACAATAAATGAATAAAATACAAGATCACTGTAGAAAATTTAGTAAACAGTATTTTAAAACCCATAAGTGAGAAGAATTAGAACAAGAAAATAATCTCTCCTTCCTCCCAACATACTTGCATCTCCCCCCATATTTAAACAGAAATCTGTTTATAAAACATGACATCATATAAAAACCTGATTATTTCTCTTCTTAGTCTCTACTCTATACTTAACACTGAGAACAAACTCCCTAAAAGCTCATGGTATCCAGCACTAGCATCTTCCTCGAGCCTATTTAGGATATGAAGGTTATCAGCTTATTCTACTCTTTTTGAGGCAGGAAGATTAGTTTTGATTTTATCTTGGACTATTGGACTAGGAGAAACAAACTTTTCTCCCTCTCATGTCTATCCACAGTATCTGATTAAATAATGAGATATATTTGGCCTTGATTATCATCTCTTGCTTGTGGAAAACTGACTCACAAAAACAGGCATGAAACTTTGAAAGAATTTTTGTTATTCTACTTGTTTATACTGCCCTATAATCTTTCTTTCTGGTAACAGTTCTTTTGAGCTATAATTAATGTACCATTCAGTTCACCCATTTAAAGTGTACAATTCAATGGTTTTCAGTGTATTCAGAGCTGAGCAAGCACTATCACAAGATATTTTAGACCATTGTCACCATCTCAGAAAAACCCTGTGCACCCTTCATTTACCACACTCCTATCTCCCATTTCCCCCAGCCCTAAGCCACCGTTAATTTACCTCTCACTCTACAGATTTGCCAATTCCGGGCAAGTCATATAAATGGAATTACATAATTTGTGGCCTTTTCCTAAAATATTTCCATTTTTCCTTTTCTCTTTAATGAGTTATGGTCTCCTGTATTTCAGAATAGGACAATAGAACTACCACAAAGTCTGTTTAGATTTTAAATAAAAGTATTTAAGCAAATACTTTTCTCTCTCTGTATCCATAATATCTGATTAAATAATGATATATATTGCTTATTATCATCTCTTGCTTGTGGAAAAAGGACTCACACAAAAAGAAGTTGTATAGTAGTATAAAAGTTACCTTATTTTTGAGACTGTTAGACTATACATCTGAATATATTGGATTATCTCATCCAGAAGGCGATCAGTCATGCTATCAAAATCAGCAAAAGTATCATTCTAAACAAAAACAAAACAGATACATTATATAATGAATATGTAGAATCACATGACAAGCTTAGGATACACATAATTTTTAATTTAGGTATTGAAAATACACTTACAACCAGCATTTTCAGAGAAGTTAGTGAATATGTTATATTAAAATGAGCAAAAAGAGTGAATTTCTAGGGAAAAAGAATTTATTGTTCTTAGTAACACTGGCTTCATTTAGTTGGCTAACTGTTTAGCCCATTACCAACACTGAACATAAGGTTGTTTACAATAGCTTAACTGATAAAATGTTTGCACAGAAATGTGAAATTTTAGAAATTCTGCACATGTGAAGAGTTCCTTGGATTGTGAATCATTTCTACTTCCTTGGTATATGCATGAATATTACATTTCAAAGAAATCAAATTATTTTTACTATTATTACTACTATTTTGTAGTAAGCAAACATTAATGTAGAAACTAGTGCAGAAATGTTTACTTCCACTGAAAAACACTGCCAAAGAGTACCTGATTTCTCTCAGACATAAGAAAATCAATTCTTCCCCCTGGCAGTCCCAGTTCAATGTAAGTTTTTACTAATCGGAGATCTGCACTGTTACCTAGAAAATGAAGAAAATAAAAATTATCTCTAAAAGATGAGCTAGAGTAAAAGGTACAAAGTACATCATCATATGGTTTTATAGTTCTTGAAGACAAAAATATGGCCTATGCCAATTTTGAAAAGACAATGATGCTGAAATAAGGGCCCTCGATTTTATTCAGAGCTGATTCCCACTAGCCAGTATCTTTCAACAGTTTCTTTGAATCCCATGATGCTCTCGTTCTTCCACTTATGGATGCATCTGCTGAAGTGTTGGCACGCACTGTGGTGACTGCTGGCCACGGCAGCTGTGAATGAATGACTGGAGTACTCCCCCCTTCACTCTAGGTGCTCATTTAACAAACCTCAGATGCACTTTAATCTGTTGACTTTCTTTTGGTGGTAATGGTACAGATGGATCAAAAAAAAATCCATTTACATAGTCAAAGATAGTTTAATTATTCACTTAAAAGATATTTATAAAAATAGACAGAATACATAAGTATAAAAATAATTATCTTTAAAAATTTGTTTAGTGGCTTTTTACTTAATTGAATTCGTTCTTACAGAATCACATTATAATACAGTAATGATCTGCTGCTAGTCTAGAGACATTTGGGATCTTCTAATACAGTTCCTAACCTAGAAAAAAGTCTGCTGAGTAACCAAATAGCTGTTATAAAACTGTAACTTTAAAGCCATGTATTCAGAATTTAAACTATACCCTAACTAAGGGGTGCATCTTTGACTTCTTAGGTATCACATTTTCCAGGCCATCAGGTCTAAAGCTTCAAGCTAAAGGGGCGAGGAGACCACCAAAGGGAGGGAACTGGCGGCCAGAAGGGGCAGCTGACAAAACCAGCAGCAGGAGGGGCGGAGAAGCCGAGTTAGAAATACGTATAATGTTGACAGACTGATGTCATGTCCGTGGAAAATTTACTTACAAGGAAATCTAATATTATATTTAGGAAAATTAAGCTTATTTCTGTTTTTGAATATATTTAAGCTTCAATTAATTTAAGCAATTTAAAATCTTTTTTCAAAGATTAAATAAAACTAAATGAGACCTATTAGGAAAAGGCAACATGAGTTGCAGGGCTGGGTATGTCGACAGATATCACGCACCATCTAATCCATGCACACAGACAATGAGGTGCACTCCGTGTTCGGCACCATCCTCTTCCTCTGCGCTGAAATACGGGGCTGAGGAGGCCAGCAGAGGAACGTCACTGTACATGAACCCGGGGAGTTTAAGTTGCTTCAGTTCTTCTCTTGCCTGAAGGAAGCTGAAGCAAAATATCATAAAAGATATTCTTTGCTGAATATTATATACAGTGTTTGGAACCAAAAGGACAACCTGTTGAACTGAGAGAACTGCAGGAGGAAACCCAGCAATATCTGATTTTAAAATAATGAAAAGATTATTTTACCTAAAAGATTTAGAAATCAGAAAGTGCCTTTCTTTACTATTATTAGTTCAGATTCTGATCAAAACAATGAAAAAACCTAAAATCACTTAAAAATATTCATTCCAACTTGAAATCAACTAGGAGCAGTTATACTTTCTACAAAATTTTATATTGTAGGCAGGAAAGCTGGGAGAAGTACTGGGAAGATGACAATCTGATGCTTGTGCTGTAATCAAATCTTACTCTCTTTGCTCTTTTTAATCTTACATAAACAGAAGGCATAGAGCTGTTCTACAATGTGTAATAGTGAGAATGATAGTTACAGCATCTAGTAGATAACATTTGTATTTTTTTGAAAGTACCAATAAGAAGGAGCAGAAACAAGAGGGGGATGTGACTACATAAAATTGGTGCCATATACTCACTGGGTGACAAATCAAGTCAGCTTGGGGACTGCAAACACCAACAATTTTAATTATTTTAATCCTATATCATTTGGACTGAGAAAAGTAAAAGAAGTCGATGGACACCAGATCAAGTAGGGTATACCGCTGGAAGATACATAGATCACTGTTGTCATGAATGCTCAGAAAGTCTGAGGTACCCAGTAGGTGGTACAACCCTCAGCTTTCCAGTGAATTACAATTCTTTCACAGGCTGTCACCACCTCACTGGTTTCACTACCTTCAAGCACCATGGATCTTAATCCTACATCTCAGAATAACCTACTTTAAAAATCTACTGTAGGCACGTCCAGACTTTCCACTCCAGGGACTGTAATTCCAACTGATTAAGGTAGTAGGATATTCTAAGGACCAGTGCCATCCTCCAGCTCTTCTGGGTATTTTACTGGTCTGTGAAGTACTAATGCCGGAAACCACGGATTTAGCTGAGGCATTTTGGGTCTGGAAGGTTTGGGAAGTTTCTACTTACTGATTATTCATTATTTAGTTATCCTTACTTACTAGATGCACTCATTTTTGAATGCTTCTGTCTGTGAGTTAATGCAAAAGAAGTGAAGTACTGATGAAAAGAAGGTTTTAATCTCAATTATGCCATACTTCTAACATAAAACCACCAATGGAAAATTTATGTATCAGGAAGGTCTAGCGTATAGTAGTGGGACAACCGTATGGGCAACTACAGGTCAGAGTGTATCGAGTCCACTTCTCCATTTCAGACAGCTACTCAAAGGCACACTTTCTGTATTAGAGAGACCAGAGAACATGAAGTACGTGTGTTGCTAAAGAAGTACACGGCATGTCCTGTATACATGCTGTCGTGCCCCAGGACTTACGCTTGTATCTGAGGTTTCGGTGAATTCTCATACCAGGAGGCTGCTGAAGCAGAACTGTAAGAAGTGCTGCTCGGCTGCTTTGTGATGGCATCACATTTACTTCCGGAATACTTAACATCACACGGAGACTCGCGTGGTGCAGACGGGAAGGACAGACAGGCGGAAGTGCAGACAGCAGGCACACTTACACCATCCCTCAGATAGTCACTGTTAATCTTTTCAGATTTTATGAGCTTCTCTTCTTCCAGTGCGGAGTCCTCTGGCCCCTCATAGTGCCCATTCTGAACCGTTCGGTGGTCCTGCTCTCCCTCCTCATTCTCTGTTCCCTGTTCCTGCTGGAGCTTAGCGATTTCGCTGTCAGCAGCTTTCTCCCGAGGACTGACTGCATTGCTGTAACTAACTGCACAGGTGTGAGAAACATCTGCACTGCTTTGAAAGTCAAAATAATTTTCCACAAGCCCTTGTTTTACCATATCAGGACTAGCTGAAAAAGAGTCACTTGTACCCAGATGAGTTTCATTTTTAAGTGCAGGGGCTTCTGAATTCATTTGTTTGACATTTAATGCATCACTATTCTTCCTTTTCACAGTCCTATCTTCACTAACTTCTGTATTAGTAGAAATGGAACCTGAAATGACACAAGCGGTACCTAAACAAACTAGTTTTGAATTTAACATACTTGCTGCCCCTGCAGAGTAACTAGATTTATCAGGACTCTGGGAATCTTTACACACAGTGTCCAAGTTAGGTTTGGAGCTGCAACTACTTTTCACATCACTGGAAGTATCTTCATCTGAAAAAACAAGTTGTAAAGGGTCTTTAGGGCTTGAATTTAAGGAATGTATTGCTATAGTTTCACTGTCCAAATGCCCTGAAAATATGACACTCTGCTGTTGCAAAATAATACTTGACTTTTTACTATCATCACATTTTGGCAAATCGGTGGTTCCCAAATTTAATATAGTTTTGCTATCGCTTAGGTGGCATTCAGGGACAGATTTCCTAGAAGTTTCATCAGGTGACAGTTCATCATCAGAAGGCAGAGAGTTTATGGATGTCAAAGATGACTGTATTTCACTGAAAGCACTGGTACTCTCTGTACAATGACTTCCTAAGGAAAATTTTACATTATGATCAGGTTTCATCAAAAGCTGAGGAAACAATCTTTCATTATTGTAAAGACCTTGCCCTTGCACAGTTTCAGATATTACATCAGGGTTTGTATGTGTTGCAAAAGAACTTGGTTCACTTTCAACACCTGAATCTGAAAATCTAGATGAAGCATATGTGGCATTAATATCCGGTAACTTAATTGTATCTCCACTTACTGTAACATAATATTCTTTTGTAGAAGGCTGATTACTTCTTAACTTAGCTAATGATTCTCCAACAGAATGACACTTTGCTTCCTGCAAAGCTTCTTTTTCAAGTGTTATTTCTATGGATTTAGATTTACCATTAGAGTCTAAGGACTCAAAGCTGGGTAGCTGTAAATTATCCACAAATAATTCATCTGGTCGAAGCTCTGTCCATGGTCCTGTTTTAACAGTTATTTTCTCTCCACTCAAAGGGTCTTTATTACAGGGCTTTACTTCAATTGTTCTAATTCCTGACGGTGGGGTTGTTTGATGATCCTGGCAACCATCTGATGAACTTCTGCATGCCACACTGTGCTCCACTTGTGTAATGTCACTACCATCCTGGGAGATAGCAAGTTTACCTGAAATGGACAAATTTGCACAAAGATTTAGGCTGCCAGAGTTCAAAGAATCAAACAGGTCTGGCTGCACATTTTCAATATTTGGAGACTTTAGTTCAGTTCTCTCTGTATTAGCTGGCAAAAAGCTAGCTTCTTTTTGACTTGTCTGTCTGATGTAGGTCTTTAGGTCAAAATTATATCCACATATTGTGGGATCCAGACCCTCCTTCTGACTATGGGAAGAGTTGCCTTCAAAGCATTTAAAGAGGTCATTTGATGCTGTACTTTTCAAACATTTGTAGCCTACCAACACCACAGAATCCTTAGAGTTCTGTTTTATTAATTTTTTTGTGTTTTCAGGTTTCATTGTTTTCATGAGCTTAGTAACCTTAACCTTGGTTTTATGTGATTCTTCATTCTTTCCTTTTAGAGATTTTGTTAGCTGCTTTTCACCTTCTGTATACCAAAAATTGGAGGCACCAGCAGGTCTGACTTTCAACTCTGGGCTAGAAAGTCCAGCTACAGATCTTTCTTCAGTCTCATATTTATCCATTCTACTGGCCTCTGATCTGTGAAGAGTCTGCATGCCCATCCAGGGTGCATCTACGTCTTTTATCCAAAGAAAAAAAGATTCAGATTTAAAACAAGGTGTGAGGACTCATATGATCAAGACTACTTTTTTCTGACTATAACTTTCTAATATCCTCAAAAATAAATAAAACTGGAGGGGAAAGAAATGGCCCCACATTAGGGAATGGTTTTATGTGTATTAGGAAGAATATACTCAAAATGACACCCACAATTTACATATTTTAGATTATACTTACCTTCAATAACTGAATCTAAATACCTATCTTCAAAGATTATAGGTAATGAATTGAGATCTCCATCTAATTCACTACATTCAATAGGTAGGGGCGGAAGAGAACTGCAGAAGGAAGTGTTTTTGATAGCGGTGCACATCTGTAGATGACTCTGAGCACTGAAAAATATTTCTTAAGTCAGACTGCAATTTTAGAACGTTATACCTAATTTCACTTTACAGCCTCTACCCTTTCCCTTGTCCTCACAATTTCTATACCCCATTCTCAAGATATGACCTCCTTCTGAAAGAGCTTCTTGGTCAGAGATAAAGATTGCTAAAATGAAAATATGGCTTGTTGATAATGAGTTATTGGCTTATAAAATTATGGCCTGTTGATAAATTATTTAATTTCTATTCTATTCTTCCATACTTTTTAATGGTATTTCAAAGTGAGTAATCTTGCTTAAAGTCTGAACTTCCTAATTTGCTAAGAATAACATACAGGAAATAAACCAAAAGCTCAAATGCCTACTAAGGATTTCATGCTAGTGTTGGAAAAAAAATGTGTTACATTGCTACTACTTGACCTAACATACTCTGGTAAGTACAATTAACAGCTATTTGAAACAGGTGTATGCCTTTCTAATACAAACGTTTTTTAAAAAACCTTAAATGGAAAATTTCAAAGTAAACAGAATAGTGTAATAAACTTCACTACACACCTTCAACAATTAATTTTGCCCTTCTTTTTTTATCTGTATCACCACTCACTACTTACCTCCACAATTTATAGTTGTTTTTTTTTTTTTAGGTATAACTCACATGTATTAAAATATACAAATCTTAGCTGTATGACTCTGACAAATGGATACATGGTACAAAATATTTTCATCTACTTAGAGTGTATTCCCATGTCATTCCAGTCAGTCTCCCAGCCTAAGTCGAAATCATGACAACCACCTTCTGACTTTCTTCACCTTAAATTTCCCTGTTCCAGAAATTCTTATAAATAGAATGATATGGTATTTATTATTTTATGTCTGACTTCTTTCGCTCAGCTCAATGTCCTCAAAATATTCTTTAAAGCCAAAGAAAACCAGACTGAAACATACTCAGTAGGAAACATGGAAGGTATCTATTCTGGATATTTTAACTGTAAATCATTTACATAACAGAAAGCTGTCAGACTACTTGTGAGAATCTGTGATACATAATGATGAATGCAAGAGATTCTAACCTACAAAAATAAAAATAAAGATATAATGAGATAGTCAAATGTTAGGCTGGTGCCAGAGATGTATGGTACTACCTTGGTTACAGTAGATCTGATATGGGAGAGGGGATAACGGCGATGCACTTCTTTACATAAAGTATGGGTAGTCCCATGATTTACATGAAGAAATTAGTAAGATTAAACCCATTCTGATTAAATGGGATTTCTGAGCTTCAACTTTTCCTAATTTCTTCTTTTGTGAATATTACATATTCTGTCACTAATAAATACTGAGCTAGATAACTTAAATAAAAGGAAATAAAATCATTTTAATTTTGGGTTTCTGCTACTTACTGAAGTTCCTGGTATGCAATGGCAGCTCCTCTTGGATGTTCAAAGCAAAAGAATGCCTCGGAAAATCTGCGTACCTGAAAAATTTCAAAAGGGAGTATGAATAACATGGTCCATTTAAAAAATCAATCAGGCATAGGATGGCAGGGAAAGAACCCCCCCTTCACCCCATTACACCTTCCACAACCACCCCCGTGAGAATTAATCTCCCTCCTTGTACGGCCAAAGCACTGTATTTTTGACAGCATGAAATAAAAGAAACAAAGGAATACAGAGTGAGAAACTTCAGTTTACATTATGGACCCAGCATGTTTCCTATTTGAATATAGGAATTATGTTTGTCTTCTTCACCAGTGTCTCCCCAGTACCAAAAACAGTGTCCAGTGCATAAGAAAAGTGATGATAAAACCAGCTAGCACTTGGACTATGCTCTGTGCCAGGCACCCAAGTGTATGCAAGCTGGACTGACTGACTGGCTTTGTGACTTTGGGCATTTCACCTATTAGCCTCAGACAACAACAAACTTCCAAATTACTCTAAATACTTCTTCTACATATGAGATTATCGTGAAGAACAAACATGATGTGACAGACTGTAATCTAGAAAGTGTATATAAATATAAGCTATTATAATTGCCATTATAGCATTCACCAAATTTTTCCTTAAAATAAATGTATATGTGAATTAAAGTGTAATGTCCTTTAAAGCAGGAACTACGTTTTGAGATCTTTGTTACCCCCTAAACATACATCTTGGTTTGTTGCAGAAGTAAGTACTTGGTAAATAAATACTGGTCACATCTAGTTGACTATTTCTCCTGCCATATTTGTATTTTGACCTTTTCATTTCTATGCAAGGAAAGGTTTTATCAGTTCTTGGGCAGCAACAAGGGAGATGGAAAAAATGAAAAAGATGTTTTGCTTGAAGGGTACAGGAAGGAGACAGATTATAATACATCCTGAAATTATATCATATCTAAGATTCTTCCCTAAAGGGAAATACGATGTAGGGCTCTTTGGTTTTAAACATTTAATGAACTGGAGATACATATTACGAGTCAAGATCTGGCCACTAGCATGTTTCACTTCGTAAACTTGTTTCCCCGAGCAGATGACACTGGGCCTTCCGAGGAGCCAGCCGGCAAGGGAAGTGGGGAGAGGAAGCTGGGAGGCGCCTGCGAGGAGGATGCGATGCGTCTTTACTTCCAAATGCTGCCCAGCTGCTCCTCTTCCTCTCGAATATCTGCCCGTCTACCTACTAGACATGGTTTTCTCCCTGCGGGCCACAGGCGGCTGCCGTTGCCTGCGCTCCTGCAGCTGTGCTGGGCCCGGGCCCGCGGAACTGGCGCGGTGGTTTTCGCCTCCCTGATCTCTGCACTAATAACTCCCATTTCCTGACAGTATCCTACCTACCAGGCTCTGGGCGAGGCACTTTCTTTTCATTCTTTAATTTAAACCATACAAAATCACCACGAAGTAGATGTATCTTCATTTAATGAGTGAAGAAGTAAGCAGAGAGAGGTTAATTACTGGGTCAAGATAACACAGCTGGCAAGTGATCAAATGGAATTCAAATACAGATGTGAGAAATTCCAAATCTCGTGCTCAAACAACTTGCCTTCTGCCCTGTGCAGTGCAGCTCCCTGTTACCAGGAAGTCCTTCCTTTCCCCCAGGCACCCACACTAAGTCCTCTTCCTAGATCTTCTCCTGCCATGACTTCATGTTGCGGTAATGGGTAGTAAGTAAGCCTACTGGCTGTACTGTGTGGCCACAACTAAGGTATGACTGCTGCCTGACGGCAGCCAGCTTAATTTTGGGCAAAAGACATACACAGAAAAATGTTAAATTTACAAATTCAAATTCAGGATACAAGTACTATATATTACTATTTTGGTATATATGTTTGTAAAACAAGTTTTCGGTATGACTCTAGTTTTTAAAAATCCACTGTTTGGCATATCATTTGTTCAAAACTTAGCAAAAAGCTGGGAGATTTAAAAAAAGGCGTATGAGTGTTCAAGATGGGCATTTATTAATGCTTTACAGAGTTAAATGTTCCTTTATCTGCGTTCACCCTATCATGTTGTTTAAACTGCTAAATAGTATTTTTATAGTATAATATTACAAATAGTATTATAATAATTCTAATGGATAGCATTTATTACTTATCAACATATTATAATATTATAATTAAACATATTAACATTGTAATATTTGTTATTATAATTTTATATGTGCCCAACTAACTTAAGATTCTAATTTTGAGTGCAGGGTCTAAACATTTGAGTTTTTATCTATGTTGCCTTAAAGAAAGAAGGCAGCTCATAAATCTTTCTTGAACAAATGTTAAAGTTCTTGAATTTTTCTCATAATGGGATACCTTAAAACCCCTTTTCCACACAAAGCTGACTCACGCTTACTATCAGATACAGTTCTAACTGGTTTAAGTTATTTGGTTTCTCAATTCAAAGCACATGAAAAGAGCAAAACTAGCTAAAGGAAGAAAGAGAATTAAATGGAGTACACCCGGGATACATAGATGTACGACTATCAGGCAGTTAAAAGAAATGGTGAGAACTTGCTTAAGTCAAAAGCCTCCCCTTACAGAAACCTAAAACATTCCCATAAAAAAGCAGGAAAAATTAAAAACTAATATAACTTGGGTCCATTTCATAATGAATCTAATATCCAAACATTTTAATAGCATGGAACACCAGAGTATTAAAGTTGAGCACACTATGTACAATTCATAGTGAGAACTGAATCATTCTGGAAGGGCTGAATCAGGTTCGGTATACTCTACTTCAGAAGGTAGGCAACCAGGAGACACACTATAAAGTTTCCATTTAAAATGGTTAAAAATAAATTAAGAAAGAAAGTAAGTAAGGAGACAGAGGCACTGAACAATGTATGAGAACAGATGGACCTAACAGATATCTACAGAATACTCCATCCAAAAGCAACAAGATATACATTCTTCTCAAGTGCCCATGGAACATTGTCAAGAATAGATCATATACAAGGCTTCTCAGACCACAAAGGCATGAAACTAGAAATAAATTACACAAAGAAAATGAAAAAAACCCACAAACACATGGAAGTTTAATAACATCCTCCTAAGTAACCAAAGGATCAATGACCAAATAAAAAGAGAGATCAAGCAATATATGGAGACAAATGACAATAATAATTCAACACCACAAAAATCTGTGGGACGTAGCGAAGGCCATGCTAAGAGGGAAATATACTGCAATACAGGCCTACCTCAGGAATGAACAATCCCAAATAAACAGTCCAAACTCACAATTAACGAAACTAGAAAAAGAAGAACAAATGAAGCCCAAAGTCAGTAGAAGGAGGGACATAATAAAGATTAGAGCATAAATAAATAAAATCGAGAAGAATAAAACAATGGAGAGAATCAATGAAAGCAGGAGCTGGTTCTTTGAGAAAATAAACAAAATAGATAAACCCTCAGACAGACTTATCAAGAAAAAAAGAGTCTACTCACATAAACAGAATCAGAAATGAGAAAGGAAAAATCACTACAGACACCACAGAAATACAAATAATTATGAGAGAATTCTATGAAAAATTATATGCTAACAAACTGGATAACCTAGAAGAAATGGACAACTTTCTAGAAAAATACAACCTACAAGGCTGAATCAGGAAAAAACAGAAAATTTGAACAGACCAATTATCAGCAAAGAAATTGAACTAGTAAGCAAAAAACTACGTAAGGAAAAAAACCCTTGGACCACATGGTTTAACTGCTGAATTTATCAAACATTTAGTGAAGACCTAATACCCATCCTCCTTAAAGTTTCCAAAAAGTAGAAGAGGAGGAAATACTCCCAAACTCATTCTATGAGACCAGCATCACTCTAATACCAAAACCAGGCAAAGACCCCACACACAAAAAAATTAGACTAATATCTCTGATAAACATAGATGCAAAAATACTCAACAAAATACTAGCAAACCGAATTCAAAAATACATCAAAAAGATCATCTGTCATGATCAACTAGGATTTATTCCAGGGATGCAAGGATGGTACAACATTTGAAAATCCATCAACATCATCCACCACATCAACAAAAAGGACAAAAACCACATGATTACCTCCATAGATGCTGAAAAGACATTTGACAAAATTCAACATCCATTCATGATAAAAACTCTTAACAAAATACGTATAAAGGGAAAGTACCTCAACATATTAAAGGCCATATATGACAAACCCCCAGCCAACATCATACTTAACAGTGAGAAGCTGAAAGCTTTTCCTTTAAGATCAAGAACAAGACTTTTTGAAATAAAAATTTTACAGGCTGATTTTACATTTACATAGAAATGCAAGGAATCTGAAATAGCCAAAACAACCTCAAAGAAAAACTTTAGAGGACTTACAACTGCCTCACTACAAGACGTACTAAATAACACAGTCAAGTTAGTGTGGTGTAAACATAAATATATACAATAAATCAATGGAACAAGTAATAAGCAAGTTTATTAGTCAATTGATTTTCAACAATGATACTAAGGCAATTTAACAGAGAAAGGAAAGTATTTTTAAAAAATGGTGCTGGAACAGCTGAATAGACTTAAGGAAAAAATGGATCTTGACCCCTACACCTTAAACTACATTCAAAAGTTAATTCAAGATGGTCCATGGACCTAAATATAAAAGATGGATTTTAATGCTTCTAGAAGCAAACAAGGGATAATATTTTCATGACCTTGCAACAGGCAATGATTTCTTAGAAAGGACACAAAAGAACCAAATATGAAAGAAAAAGTAAGAAAATTGTCCTTAACATTCTCATCAAAATACACCACTGAGAAAATAAAAATGCAAGCCACAGACCAGGAGAAAAAAGAATTAACAATGTTAATTATTACATATACTTAACAATGGACTTGTAACCAAAATGTATAAATATTCCTAATAAGCCAACAATAAAAAGAGAACCTAATTTAACACCTTATGAAACTGAATCCAAACACCTGATGGGCTAGCGCAACAGCATCCACGTTCTATTCCTCTCACACCCTCGTCCATCTCTTGGCACT